AAAAAAAAAAAAAAAAAAAAATGAACACGTGAAGGGATCTGGGTTCCATGGAGGACCAGGCTGCTAAGTAAGGGCCTGTTTACATGGAGTGGGGGACCCCGGTCTAGTGGGGTTGGTTTCTTTTATTTTCACGCTCTGGGGGACACAAAACAAAAGAAACTTACCCCACTAGACCGGGGTCCCCGACTCCATGTAAACAGGGTCTAAGAAAGCCTGGTTACAAAGTCAACTCGAAAACTTGGTCTTTTCGACTATCAATTGTCTAAACAGCCTTTAAAAAACGTAGTATCGATGTTAATTAAAGATGAGGACATCACATCATACCAATTGTTGTTAATAAAGCAAGATCGTGTGCTTGTAAATTAAAGTACGTACTTACTTATTTGACTAGTGAATCTGGAATTTTTTTTTTCCTTCTTTTACTTTTCGAAAAAATAAAATGGGTCGGTCGGGCGATGAGAAACGAAACATTTTAGTGGGATGGCCCAAGCGAATTTGGCACCTCAAAGAGCTGATAGCTTCCGTGCTACGATGGTTATCCACTTGTTCCTAGACGTCGCACTTTAGCTTATGTCTTCCGAATGCAGATGATATGACAGTACTTTAATAGGTAATAATACCCTATGTTTGATGGTCTCGGAAAGGGATCAAGGACGTTGGACCGAGGCCGTGAAGCACAGTGGCTCTTAAAGGGATGGTTGATTGAATTAAACGCGAATTGGCCCAGTAATCACCGTGGCCAGCCCAACCACAACCCAATCAAAATATTAAGAATCAAAATAATTATAAAAAGTGAGAAAATGTGTGCGAACAAGGAAAAATGAAATCTATTCAACTCTTACTTGAAACGAAAGTGTGCTTTTAACCATTGCGGTTTAACGAGCAGCAGTACAAAACGAAAGTTAGCCTGCGTAGCCGGCGGAATCGTTCGCGCGGGGAAAGTTCTGGCAGAGGAGCTGCTAAGCTGTACGGAGAATGGGGAGGAGACAGAGCCGCCTCGCCGCTTCACACACTTTCATTCACACACGCAAAAACTGATTCCGTCGGTTGCGCATGCTAAACCAAAGTAATTGGACATACTTTTGAAACACTTCAGAACTCAATAAATCGAATACTTGAGATAAAAATTACAAAATTCTAATCAACTCTTAAAATATCAACTGTTGTTGTCATACAATGACTTACTTATGGGTTTCCTCTGCACGAAATCATACCTGATTCTGGGTCAGTGCTGCATCACCAATTTTACATTTATTGACAAAATTTATTCGGTTTTATTAGGTTTCGGTTAAACATGATGTCCTCTCTTTGTTCAACAGGTTGCCGGTACGCAAGTTAAAGTTGAAGAAATAGCAGAAGTAAACTAAAAAAGACCCTCACAAAAACCATTACAATATAAGTGAAGGTTTATCCTCGGAGATCCAGGGACAGCTAAGATGACCAGATATTTAAAAGAGCAAATAATGAGGGTGCTGGTTGTCCGAGGATAGTGAAGTGAAAATAGATATGACATTTGAAATGTCGATGAAATACCTCAAGGAGCTGGCACAGAAACACGTAAGGGGAGGATCATCAGAAAAGTTAAGGCGGGGGTGGGGAATTCTTTAGCTGCATGAACTTTTTCCGTTAATATTTCCCCTATTTGTTTAAATAATTTTCCCTTGTATGAATATTTTTCGTACATCGCACCCCGCTCCCATAACTTCTGCTAATGGTTCACCCTTGAAGTTCCTTGTTAAGGCCAGGTATTACATAGGCAATGACAGAAGCTCTGCATTTGAAAATCACGTGAGACGAAGATCACGCGCGCGAAAGGGCTCCCCGCGCCTCGCTTCCTTCTCCTTCGCGCTACGCTCCCAGTTTTCATATGGGCAGCTGGCTCGCGGGCTTAAAACAAAATTATCATTGGTTTTAAGGTGCCAAAACAAATAATCGGATAAAGCTAACAAAAATTGTAGCTGGATGGAATGAAACAAAGCATAGCCTAGCAAAACAAATTCCAAAACTGCGCCAAGCAATTGACTCATGACCACTTCACCCCTTGTACGTATTGTACCAGCACTTCGAGATAGACACAACGCATGAGAATAAGATGTGCAATTATTTATCCGTACACAGAGTACACCTCACAAAGTGAAAATAAAGTATTTTTATAGAAACAGCCCTTGCCTACTGTGTCATTCAACCCTTTTACTCCAAGAGTCGGTGAACTACAGCAATAGGCCACTTGCACTAAGAGGTCACGTGACCAATGCTTCCTTTAAACAATGTGTTGGAATCTTCATGCTGCCAAAAATTGACAAAGCACATAAAAATTATCTTACACCCGAAACTTGAGAGGAAACGCATTTAAGGGAGATATTTTATGGCGATTTGATTTTTCAACGAAGTAGTATGATTTGTATTGGCCGCCACGTTGGAGGACATACTCTTGCCGTCCAACATGGCGGCCAAAACTACTTTTTGCTCATATCTTGTTAAACTTTTGATAGTTACGCTGAGATGTGCTGTAAACGTTACCACGTCATCTTTCAACATTTTCTTGAAGTTTAAGTGCAAAATTTGTATTCAGAAAGAGGCAATTCATAATTTTAAAAATCACATTTTGGCCACGTGACTTTCATTTTCATAAAAACGATGTCACATGACCACTTAGTGCAAATGGCCTATTTCTCCCAACAATATCAATTCGCCCCAAGATAGTTTTGGATTCTGGATTCCATGCCATGGATTCCGGATTCAAGATTACTGGATTCCGAATTCTGTCAGTGGTACTTGGATTCCAGATTGGACTCTAGATTCCAATCGTTTGAGCTGTATTTCGGATTCCAAAGCTCTGCTTTGCGGATTCCACAAGCAAGAATTTCCCAATTTCAGAACGGACCTCTGGAGCCAGGGTAGGTGAGTCAATGCACAATCAAGAGAATAGGTTGCAAAAATGGATGAAGTGATCACAAAGCGGGAAATGCTTTTATCTTCGATCAAACTTTCTTAACTAAATCTTCAAGGAATTGTTTGGAGATCATACAAGAGAATTAGTCTGTGGATATTGGGGCTTAAACGGTAAAAAAAAAAAATAGCAGACTGCCTTGATATTTCAACTCCAATTCAATACAGAATTATAGTGCACGAAGAAGCAGTTTGAGGTGTGCAACCACTGAATCGTTAACTTATTCATCGTTTTATTTTATTTATAAATATAAAAGAAACTTGCGTAAAAAGTCTGCAGTGCTAAAAAAATGTTTTAAAAAGTTCGTGCGAGATAAAAACAGTGATAAAAATTATTATGACAAAATATTTAAAGAAAATTGAACTATTATAGTGATACTTTGTGGTATTTTAAATATACAGCTATATAGATATTTTTCAATTTTTATTTCTTGGTCGTAACTTTAGCCTACCTGTTTCGGGAGGTATCAAATCAAACTTGACCGAGCTCCGGTCAATATACTGTTGGTATGAATGTTCAACACAGGGCTTCGGCAGACTAGAGGAAAACGAGCAAACGTCCAGTGGATTCCCCATATAACAAAGTGTCAAAGAAACTGGTTCGTTCTAAGGGGGGATCACGTTTCTTCGGCATTTTCTTGTCCATTTTTCTATAACTACGAAGCAAAAGATGTCATTCATTGCGCTTAAGTGTCGAAGGAAATGAGATTGGAAATGAATTCAAACTTGACAGTTTATGTCTGTACATACGAAGTTGATGCGCAATGTTTAGTCCTTTGACCTTCTAAAAAAGGGGCCCGGGCACCTAGTGTTCGAACCACCAGTGTCTGTCCAAGAGATAAAATGCTTTTTGCCGTGAGGGTGGTTACTGACAGGTAAACTTCTAGTCTGTTGATACCTATTATGTCCTCTTAGATTGATGTCACTTCATTACTTACGAAACACTAATTATGTCGTTAAGCATAAAATTATTATATATTAAAATTCTACAGTTTTATGGTATCTTCATTTATGACGGTTCTTTTGGTCTTATTTTTTCATAAAAGAACTGTTTTCCTGTTGCTTCAGGTAATCCTGACTTGGACGTCAATGCTCTCTTTTTTGCAGTTTGAAAAACCTTATTCGCAAATTCGTAGAATTCATTTTCCATTTTCCATATTTTAGACTGTTCGAAGTATTGTATTGTAGACTGTTCTAATGGTTTCTTTGAGGTTGTCTTCCTGAGATGTGACTTTCCACCTGTTATGAAAATAAGTATAAAATATAATATAAGTAAGCATATCTTTTCGACAGCAGCAGAGTTACTCCAGTTGGTGTAGAGCCTGTCTGCAGAGCGGGATTTCGCAGGTTCAAGAAAATAAATCAAAGGGAGACTTTTGTCAACCCGTGAGTGCGTTGTTTAGAAAATAATCAAATGGTTATCAACTCTGGTTTTCCCACAGTAAATTGTAGGAAATGATAGAAATTTATATTGTCAAGAGCCATAATCCCCTATTATGGCTCTTGAGATTGTTTATGCATAAATATACTCATTGCTCTGGAAACACAATACTTTTCTTCCTGTTTCTTGCACTTTATTAAATAACAATTATTTAGGTATATATTTATAGAAAAACAACAAAACAAAAAAGCAAACAAACCAAAAAAAGGAAAAAAAAAGGTACTGAGCAGGAACTTCGGCTCGACGCGACTTCACCTTACCACTTCACAACTAAGGCTGATTGTGTACACTTGGCGAAAATGCCCTTTCCATGGAACTTCTGCCGGCAAACGCCGTTTAAAGATGATCGAGTCGTATAAACCAAGCTATTGGCAGCAAAAATGTATGCGCATTTCATGGCAATGAAAGAACATATGCCATACAAAGCCGATACAACTCGTCTGCGAAGTAGGACGCAAAACATATGTTTCTTTATCGCAATTTCCGCTGTTTCATATTTTGAAGCTAAAGGACAAAATCACATCCATTTTCGGCTCATACAGGTTCTTTAAAAGACCTCTAACCGTACTGCAGAAAATTTGCCACAAAGAAAACTGTTAGCAGCGCACGATGCGCGCTCTCAGCGAGGAATTTGATCCCATCGAACTTCGGCGAGCGCGTGCTTCTTCGGAAACGACAGATCTTCGCACTCTCGAGTTCGGACCCGATTAATTACGAAGTCCGTCTACTACGAATGAGCGAGTGACTCATTTGCATATCCCTGTCCCTGCAATAACTCGTAATACGCTCGCGCGTACCCACGAGTCAAAAAAAGGAACAGAATTTTGTAGCCTAGCACTGAGGCAAAGGGTTTTTGTTCGGGCACTTATCAGAAAAAAATGACTAGCTGTCAGGAAAAGGTTAAATGTCACAAGAATACTCGCACAGAACTTATTAACCCAAATTACCTTCATTGAATAATTTTGTGGCTCCTTTAAAGATTCTTGGAATAGTTGCTTCCAAAATGGCGACAAAATCACCAATTTCCTCAGTGGTTCCTACTAGGAGGTATTTTTCCACAAGATTTCTTTTTGCTTGATCTAATGCCCATTTGTTTCCTGGAGACCTGAAAAAAGAATGAAAACAATTCATTGACTAAATCCCAGCTTGTAAACCGTGGACCTTGCAGAGCTTTGACAAAGTATATACTTAAGACTTATTAAATGAATATTGAACGGAAAACCCGTCAGGGATGCGTGACACTTGACACTTTTCACTGACTTTTTGATATTTTAATTGAATATTATCTTATCAGCTATCATATTCTAACTTACTCCGAAGTGTCCGAAATAGCACGCGACGCGTAAGCAGATTTGCGGCAAACTACCACCATTATCCCAAAAGCTGACAAAGTGCCGTATTCAATTTGCCGGTCACTGCTAACGAGCAAAGGGCGAGATCACTCAATCCCTTCTTCTTTGGAAAACAAGTGGCACTGTTCACTCAAGGAAAATGACATTTCAAGATATGATCTCATGGTGATGATGATGATAATGTTGATGATGATGACGATGATACTGATGATGACGACGGCGGCGGCGACGACGACGTATGATGATGATGATGATGATGGTGATGATAACTGGTACTCTAGTTATATGTTTATAGTATCTTTACTGACATCAGAGCTTTACATTGTAAAGAGGTTTTTATCAAATGAAGTTCAACTGTAGATTCTGATTCACAGTAACACAACAAACTCACCAGCACTGAGGTGCATGACCACAAAAGAATGGAATTTGAAGCCACAGTTTCTCAGGTTTGCAATCTGGGTGGCCTCGTTCTACACACTCATCAAAATTCTGAAAAAATAATATTAATCTCTCAATTGTTTTCATGATAACTCTTAAGACATCATTGTTCTTCTTTTAACCACCACCCCCCCCCCTCCCCACCCCCATCTGGCTTTCTATTTTGTGTCACAGAAAAATGAATACCCTCTTCGCAGCCCTCCTTTAACCTGATATTAAACTAAATTTCAAGATGAATCTCAAGGATTAATACTTTAAGAATTCCTAAATATACTTTGTTTTTAATACAGCAATGTAAGTTTTGACAAAGAAGGAATACTTAAAAGGACCCCAAAAATTCCCTATTTGACCACTTCCAATAAACACTGCTTCAAATTGTCTTCTGTTGGATTGAAAAAGAATGTATGTTGGATCAAGAGTCTTTTAGAGCCTAGTATCCACACATTCTTTTGCTTACAACCCTTAGGGCCTGTTTACAGGGAGGTGGCGGACCCCAGGCAGGTGAGGTAGCCCGCTTAGGTAGGGTAACCCACATGTCCATATAATCTGTTATTTTGATTTTATCACCTTTACATGATAGGGGGGGGGGGGGTGACCATATGAGAGATTGTATGGACAGGTGGGTTATCCCACCCTAAGTGGGTCCCCTCAACTGCCTGGGGTCCCCCACCTCCATGTAAACAGGCCGTTAATCTGCTCTTATCAATACTCACTATGTTAGGCCTAGATTTTTTTCTATGTTAAAGTAAAATATTGGAGAAAACAGACTTCCAAACTTAATACATTGAATCAGGTACATGAAAATTTTGGTGTCTGAATCAATTTGGAATGCCTTCACGTATTTCAGTTTGGAATGGCTCAACCATTGATTCAAACGCTGAACTTTTCATGTGCTGAACCTAATGCATATATTATTATAACATATTTTGCAAGCAAATTGACCGAATTGAGCATCTTTCTCCCTTTGAATTTAGTTCATTTAAGATCGCTGTCTGAATCAATTCAGCCGGTCTAAATAAAATAGGTCGGCCCAAATTCAAATTTGGTCGGCTCATGAAAAGATCAGTGCCTGAGTGGGGCCTAAGATGTATAGTAATTGTTAAACATAAAGTTCACTTATTAAGATGAAACATTAAATTTTACTATTTAGTATGATCAACAAAGGTTTTTTATTACCTCTTTGTCTCCTTGCTTCATCCTTCGAAGATATGGTCTAAAAGTATCACCAAATCTCAAGAAATAATAGTACGACACAAGTCTGTCAAGAGGTCTTCTCACAATGTTTATATACAATGGTCTCTTATACACACCAAGTCTCTCAAACTCAACGTAGGCAAGATGACCATGATAAACTGCTGGCATCTTCTCCTTCCATGTAGTAATATTTCTTGCAAACCGCATTTGGTCAGGAAGAGAGATAACGTGAGCATTTCGACTCACATTTAAGTGAAGAGCATAGAATTTATTTTTGGAGCAAAGATCATACACAACTCCCATGAAAGAGGTACTTCCAGTCTTCGGAACTCTGTTGTAGAATATCACAAGGTCATCATCTTTACTTCCACTGTTCAAGATTGTATCCCTCCTTAAAGGAAGCTGACGGTATTAGAAAATACAGATTAAAAAGGTGATTATATGCAAAAATTAAATTGGAGTATTATTATTCAAGATTAATGATTGCTATAGTTGTCTGTTCATGTCATATTTTTTTCCATCTTGAGCAACATGATCGAAAACTTGACACATACATTTAACTTTCAAAATAACATTTTCAAGTTTCAAGAATTACGTTTAGGATCATGTCAAGGTTTAACTTCCTGAGTGACTTCCAACCTTAATTTTTTTATTTATTTGTTATTTATTTATTTACTTACTTATTTATTTATTTATTCATTTATAATTATTGGCTCACTACTTGGAACACAGCATTATCAAAGAATATCCTCTAAAAATGAAAAAGGTATAAAATTAGATATAGTAAATAATAGAAAGCTGACATAAAGTTTACAATATATTAGGATAAGTACCTTATGAATGTTACTTGATATTGCTCTTACAGCCTCAACTGGTAAAGAACCGAGCTCTGAAATAGAACAAAAGACTATGAGGATATCACGGACAACGCTAACACGCTTTTGCCTCATCTCACCTCTCTGATCCCTTAGTAATTCAGCCACTTGCTACATGCAAGGGAAGGAAAACTCACCTTTTTTTTCAGTTGCCGTTACATATTAAATAAATGTAAATATAATAATTACAGGCCTCTATTTTAAATAACCCAGATCATATTTTAATTACACCATTGTCAGCAATGTTGGAACAACTTTTTTATTCCAAAAAATGCAATTGGTACATCAGACTAGATGATGTCTCATGCACTTTGCTTTCCAACAGGGCAAAGAAATTTACAAAAGATTTGCATGAAAAATTTCATCAAGGTGTTTCAAGGCAATAAATCTCATATAGGACTAAAAAGGAGCACAACAACCATAAAGTTTCAACAATAAGTGTCTCTAGACTTTACAAAAATGATAACAATTCAAAATTCTTGCGTGAAGGGAAATCAAGCCACAAGCAAACTGGATAAAGAACATACCGGCGATGTTGAAACTTAATATCTACCCAGTAATCATAATATTCGAAGAGACTTGTTTTCTGAAATCCAGGTTTATAATTGACTTAAGCGTCTTACTAGGAGACTGGATGGCAATAATAATTTAGTGTGAAGCGTTCTTGCCCTATTTTTGACCCTATATTGCAGAGAAATATCTTTTATTACGAGCTTACGAAGTTCTAATACGCGAATTAAATTGTAGTCATATAAAGAGCATTCCGCACACCCGATGACAAAAACATTTTTAGCATACGACTCGCATATGTACTTCGGCATGCATAATCATTATGTTAACATTAACATTTTTTCACTAGACTAGACTTTTCCTTGGAGCTAGTCATACAATAAATTTCACCTTAAATCTGAAATCCTACCGTTTTCATGAATTTGTTGTGTAAAAGGCCTTGAACGCAGAATCTGGAATTCAAGAATCAACAGCGCGAGTAGAAATCCTACCACCATCCATTTGTTCACGATCATTCTCCAGGAAAGCGAAGCCACTCTTGTAAACAACATTCATTCGTTCTTCCCAATGATCGTGCTTTTGATCCTTTATCAACTTATAACAGCCATTTGTGCACACGAAGCACATTTGATCAAGCCTTCCATTTGTAAAATGTCATTACGAGTATGGCGACAAGATTTCCTTTTTTTCGAAAAGGTCTGGGACGAGTATAATATGTAAAGTGGTGTCCAGCTTACCGCAATTTGGTGGAACCGCTGGGGAAGAAAGTTCCAAAAACCCTCAATTTCAAAGCGAGGCCAAGTACAAAACCTTTTTCTGAAAATTGGTTTTATTTGCATGAAAAAAAATGTAACTATCATAACAACAGAATGGCCCACTGTACTACGAGCTCCTGATTCTGATTTTGCTGGTTCCTAAAGTAATGAAGAACAGGGACAGATCGAAAAGCCTATTTGCGGCGGCCATGGTAGTTCATGGTGGCCAGATAAATGGCTAAATAACGGGGTTACTCTTTAATTCATTTTACCTGCGAGCAAGCTCCCCCATTTGGGAGATGGTTATCGCGAGAAGCCACGCGCTTAAGGTACGCGGAAATGGAGAACAAGTGATCCCAAATTTTATTTTCACATATTGTCACTAAAAATTCATACTAAAAAACTATCGATCCTACCGAGTTTTTGCTTTCACGATGCATTAGAGCAGCTGAAAACTAATCTTCATACAAATTTTCGCTTTAAAAGGGTTCTCGGTTCTGTGATAGTACGCTTGAATTTCTAAGCTTTTGCGTGACGCGGCATTTACATGACGGCCAAGATAGAAAAAAATGACTTATTTCAGGAAATTTTGCTATCTAATTAATAAACAGTTCATGTATTAGAAAAATTATTACTTTAATGTTTATGAGTTTCTCGAAGAATAAATTCACGCTTTTGTAGCAAAACTAGGTAACAGATGTTTCTGCTGGTTTCCGTCCGCCATGAAGCTCATCCAGGTGAGCACCAGCATGGCGTCTCCATACAAATCTCTATAAGTTTGGGTAAAACAGCTCGTATAGGAAATATTTCCCTGACCTGAATCTTGGCGAGGGTCTTTGTATATGTTTTTGGTTTTGCCGTGAGATAATTTATTTTTCCCGTGAGATATTTTGTTTTTGCCGTGAGGTTTTTGTTTTTGCCGTGACAGTTGTGGGCCACCATAAGCTACGATACATCGACTGGCCAATACCAGTCTTCCTCAGGTTTATTAGGAGCTACCACGAAATTTTATACAGAAATATACGGTACTGCAATGAGCGGAAGTGAGGTAGTATGGTGATGAGCAACAGATTCACTTAGTTTACTAGTAACACTAACCACTAAACAAGTCATTTGGCGCTAGGCGACCATTCGGTGTTCTGCAAAATACCTTTGCCTTGCCGGTGTTAATGATCGGAAATGGAAATCAGTACATCACTAACACATTACACTGAGTGGAAATTGGGTGAGTAATTTGAATTATCGCGCTGAACAGTGGTACTTCTCGCTTGATTTATCCCTTCGAAAAAGCGCCCTCTTCTCAGCAACCAAGACGATAGCAATGGTGTCTAATGGCCGGCAAGTGCACGTTGTGCCACGGGCATGAAAAAAGTGAAAAGTTGACTCTTGACGAGTAAACGAATCATTTATTGATGAGTAATTCAGTGAAAGATTATTGTCATTATTGTAATTTTAAAAATTACAATAAAAATTTGATTGACCAGCTTGCATAAACTTCAGCCTTAAAGATAGACTCCCTCTGTCAGTTAATTAACTACATACAAGACAGGAAAGCCACTTAAAAAGAGGGGAAGAGGTTTAGTCTAGAATGCGAACCCACATCAATTCTTGTAAGGTCACTGGTCACCATGGCTAGTATATATCATAGCAAATATCACACTTTTGATTTTTTATTTGATTTTATATTTTTATATAAGGTTATTCGCCAGTTTTAGAGCAATACGCTCTCTTACAGGGAACCTCGGGACCATAAATTTGTACGAATTTGATGGTGTGTCACCCTAAAATTGTTGAAACACCAAAACTCAGTGCAACTATGAGGCCTCAGTCTGTAATTTCCAGCTCTACGGTTAAGGAACTCTTCCGTCTTTTTCGGAGAATAAGCAGCTTTGTGGTTGTAACTGAGGTTCAGTTAAAAGAGAACACAGGCTAACAAAACCTGAAAGACGTTTCCTTTACATCCCAAAGAAGTTCCAGACTTATCGATCATGAGTTTTACTTTTACACCCCTGGTTCATATAGTGTCAGTAATTTTCATTGAAGGTACGTACGGTTGGACTTGTACTATAAATGTTCAACGACAATGCTAACGAGCAAAATTTTGCCAGACACAAGTTGATTATATCTGAAGTACCTTATATCAACAAAAAGAAGCCTTCTTTTCATAAACTATTACCATTAATTCACAGTGTAAATCTGATCCAAAAAGTCACTCACTCGCTGGTATAAAAACCTGAAGCTCCGTTTTGCGGCAGCTTCCCTCTGAGAAACTGATGCCGCCCTTTACATCTTCCCTGTTCTTTGGTTTTCTGGCAAAGCGTTCTTTTGCCTTTGAGCTCTGGTTCTGCATATCTTGAAATTGCCATGGTAATAATTTACACCTTGTTAGCACTTTAGCTATTCTTACTAGTTCGTTTCTTGAAGAGGGGAGTAATGGAAGTCGAAAATGTGGAACAGCGTATGGAAAAATTCCCGACTTTGTCTCCGAAAACGAGCGCATAAATTGGATTTTGTTTCCGGGACGTTTTCGATTAAAGCTTTCGCCAAAGATTGATTCAGAAGGCTCAATAAGACCCCCATGGTCATAGTATGACATTACTCTTTTCCTTAGAGATTTCTTACTTAAAAACTGTTCATTATGGTAAGGGTTGACTGTTATGGTTGATTCACACTCTTCATCAGACTCTTTAAAATGGCCAATACCAGTCTTCCTCAGGTTTATTAGGAGCTACCACGAAATTTTATACAGAAATATACGGTACTGCAATGAGCGGAAGTGAGGTAGTATGGTGATGAGCAACAGATTCACTTAGTTTACTAGTAACGCTAATCACTAAACAAGTCATTCGGCGCTAGGCGACCATTCGGTGTTCTGCAAAATACCTTTGCCTTGCCGGTGTTAATGATCGGAAATGGAAATCAGTACATCACTAACGCATTACACTGAGTGGAAATTGGGTGAGTTATTGAATTATCGCGCTGAACAGTGGTACTTCTCGCTTGATTTATCCCTTCGAAAAAGCGCCCTCTTCTCAGCAACCAAGACGATAGCAATGCTGTCTAATGGCCGGCAAGTGCACGTTGTGCCGCGGGCAAGAAAAAAGTGAAAAGTTGACTCTTGACGAGTAAACGAATCATTTCAGTATTGATTAGTAATTCAGTGAAAGATTATTGTTATTATTGTAATTTTAAAAATTACAATAACGATTTGATTGACCAGCTTGCATAAACTTCAGCCTTAAAGATAGACTCCCTCAGTTAATTAACTACATACTAGACAGGAAAGCCACTTAAAAAGAGGAGAAGAGGTTCAGTCTAGAATGCGAACCCACATCAATTCTTGTAAAGTCACTGGTCACCATGGCTAGTATATATCATAGCGAATATCACACTTTTGATTTTTTATTTGATTTTATATTTTTATATAAGGTTATTCGCCAGTTTTAGAGCAATACGCTCTCTTACAGGGAACCCCGGGACCATAAATTTGTCCGAATTTGATGGTATGTTACCCTAAAATTGTTGAAACACCAAAACTCAGTGCAAGTATGAGGCCTCAGTCTGTAATTTCCAGCTCTACGGTTAAGGAACTGTTCCGTCTTTTTCGGAGAATAAGCAGCTTTGTGGTTATAACTGAGGTTCAGTTAAAAGAGAACACTGGCTAACAAAACCTGAAAGACGTTTCCTTTACATCCTAAAGAAGTTCCAGACTTATCGACCATGAGTTTTACTTTTACACCCCTGGTTCATATAGTGTCAGTAACTTTCATTGAAGGTACGTACGGTTGGACCTGTACTATAAATGTTTAACGACAATGCTAACGAGCAAAATTTTGCCAGACACAAGTTCATTATATCTGAAGTGTCTTATATCAACAAAAAGAAGCCTTCTTTTCATAAACTATTACCATTAATTAACAGTGTAAATCTGATCCAAAAAGTCACTCACTCGCTGGTATAAAAACCTGAAGCTCCGTTTTGCGACAGCTTCGCTCTGAGAAACTGATGCCGCCCTTTACATCTTCCCTGTTCTTTGGTTTTCTGGCAAAGCGTTCTTTTGCCTTTGAGCTCTGGTTCTGCATATCTTGAAGTTGCCATGGTAATAATTTACACCTTGTTAGCACTTTAGCTATTCTTACTAGTTCGTTTCTTGAAGAGGGGAGTAATGGAAGTCGAAAATGTGGAACAGCGTATGGAAAAGTTCCCGACTTTGTCTCCGAAAACGAGCGCATAAATTGGATTTTGTTTCCGGGACGTTTTCGATTAAAGTTTTCGCCAAAGATTGATTCAAAAGGCCCAATAAGACCCCCATGGTCATAGTATGACATTACTCTTTTCCTTAGAGATTTCTTACTTAAAAACTGTTCATTATGGTAAGGGTTGACTGTTATGGTTGATTCACACTCTTCATCAGACTCTTTAAAATTGTAAGGGTTTTCTCTGCCCTCGTTGCTTGGCAGCCCCATCCCCTGTAGCGTTGCATCAAAAACTTTGCATTGCATTACTAAAGGAATAAACTCTTCACCGGTGTGACTTTCGATGTTAGCTTGCCAGATTTCTTCAACCTCGGCTAGTATTTCTTGCAAATTAAAAATTTCGCGCTTTGACGTCTGCCGTTCTTCTGGGTCGCTGTTAAGTTTCTTCCTTTCCCTCTTTTCTTTGGACCAAGGTCGGAAAAATGGCCCTGATATAACGGGCAGCGTATCTTGTGTCGATTTTTTGGGGCTATCAAGAATTCCCGGTATAATCCGCCTTACATCGTTTGGTTCATTAGATGAAGATGGAGGGGTTTGTTCTCTTTCCTTTCCACATAAGAACGATTTCCCCTGAATTACCAGATAAGATTCATCACCGAATGCCATGGAATCAGTCGTCGAAATTCGCGCCGATCTCTTATGATGGTGGTTTCTCGATTCTTTGGCGTTGTAGTGATTTCTTCTGCAGCTTTGTCTCTTCACAATGGAGCCAGTATCTACAATTTCATCACTGCACTTTCTCTGAGATGTCATCGAGAGAATGGTAGTCACTTTTTGCAGCTTTGAATCCCTCTGTGTGAAGCTTCGTGTTGGTTCTCTGGTTAGTATCTTATAATCATGCCGTTGTTCACCTTGTCTTAACGCCTCGTGTTTCATTTTTTTTTCCTTCAGGAGTTGCGTTTCGGTAACAGCAACGTCATTCCTCTCCACGAATTTTTTGTGATCAGACATACTTACCTGACTAGCAACTGTTTGTTGTACTAAACTAAAAACAATGGTCAGAGTTCTAACAACATCTAACAACAAAAGGTTTTCTTAGATGCAATATTGATCAAGGCGAACTTTTTAACACTTTAAGAATTTAGCACGTATTGTGTTAATTTACGTTAAAGGCCACCTTTAACACTTCTTTATAATGTTCGTTTGTTTTAATGGCCAGTTTCAGCAATATCTACCTGTTTTCTTGTCTAACCACGATTTTGATTTTAGTTTCTATTGTCTTTACAGAACAAATAATTTTGTACAAAAATACTCGCAATGGTGAAAATGGCGAATCTGGCAAAAATAGCCAGAGGGTTGGCGAAAATTTAAATGAGATTTCAAGAAATTCTCCTTGTAAAGTGACGAAGGTGACAAAAATGGCCAATCTGGCGAAAAATTTGCCATGAATATTCGAATTAGATAGCAAAAAAGGGGCCCCTTGGAGAGTGGCGATTTTAACGAAAATGGCAATTCTGGCAAAAAGGCGAAATCGCTTAAAGTAAGATGGGGTAAGATTGGGGGCCACATAGAACAAGCCTAACCTGACTCGTCCCCAGTCTCACGCGGAGCCTCTCTATGGTCACGCTTCTCAATGACACTTAGATCATGAGAAGCGTGACCGAAGAAAGCGCCAGGGATGCCTTGTGCTCCCTTTGACAGCGCTTCTCTCGTTTACATTTCTGAGACTGAGAGACGACCGGGGACAAGTCAGAAGTCTTAACAAATTTGCGTTTTAACACTACAACGATAGAAAAATACCTTGCTCGGTCCCAGGCTCTCTATCCTTCCAGTCTCCAGACAGGAAGTGGGAATATGGGAACGAGGTTGAATTAATTTCCATCAAATCACACAGAGTCTGGGAATCGGGGATGGTCGTAGTACGTTTTGTAATCCACTCGTTTATGTCAGGGCCTGTGTTGAGCCCATGACACATCCCCAGTCGTCTTCGCGTAACGCGCGCGTCGCATGAGCCCCATGTTGGCTCGACTGGGCGTCTTTAATTTCAGCCACCTTACATTACCATTTGCTGTGTTAAAGTTTTCTATTCACATGAGGTGTTGGCCTTGGTGTCACAGAAATATTTTTCAAAATATGCTATCGACTTTTCAATTCTAAAAAATCTGCACTACCTTGTAAGTTTTAATAGCTTGATGCTGTCCCTTAGTTAAGTGCAACTTAGCTATCAAATTTAACTTTATTTCTTCATCGAAATTAACCACTACGAAATAAAGCCTAACGCCAGGTCTCCTTCGGCCAACTATAATTCACAGGACGTGGATACGATTCTCCCGATGGTCATCGATCTGTGTTGTTGCTGTTGCTGCTCTTGTGTGGTTCCACCATAAGTATGGACATCGATTCTAAGGCACTTAATCATTTTTTTTCTTTAATTCTAGTCTTATTACAATCCGGCGCACGACACATTTAAAGGAGATTTTGCGGAAAATGTTTTCTAAAGTATTTAATACGATCCGCTGCATCATCCTATCTTAGCCACATTCCCTCTGTCTGAAGAATCCTCCACATCATGCCTCTACTGTAATTTTTCATCTCCTAAAAAGTGTTTTTTTTTCCTTTTAAACCATCCCCTTAAAAACAGTCTTCTTCCAATCTAACTCGTGTTCGTGCGCCCATATCGTCAAAGGAACCAGCAGCTCGGATAATTTGTCTTCCGTTTTCCTGTGCGTCATGGACGATATTGAGTTAGATAAGAGAGCTTAAGTTATAATATTGTAATAAGCGCTCAGTCTAAAATCTTACATAATCCTGTTACGCAAGGATTAGTCAGAGGTACCACTGAGTCAGCCGACCGGATCAGTTTATTTGTCGCCTTATTTGAATGTCTCAGTGCCATCTTGTCTCAAAAGCGCTGTTTTTTTTTAATACACCAGCTGTTATTCATCGCAGGCTTTTCATACTCTACTGATATATATTCTATAATTCTTATCGTGCACTAAACTGTGAGGTACATTTAATTCGAGGGGTGCGACTTTCGCTAACCGAAATGCCATAAAAAGAAAGTGATCCCTCACGGAAAAACATGTCATATAATTATGAAAAGATTATCTCCCAAGATACATCATATACTTTCATCAAAAAGGAAAATTACAGACTCATGACTGCTTAAAGAATGAGAAGTTGCGTCAGGTGCAGTCATATTAGACCCATACATTAATTGCAATTGACTATCATAAGATCTACCCTGTTTATTATTTTTTTTCCACCTGACTGGCAACAAGAAGCAAGTAACTAACATTATGAAAAGAGAAAGAGAGAGACGAACCAAGCAACACTGCTCCAAAAGCAAAAAGAAGAAATTTTATTGTTTGCCATTTGTTTCTCGTGTGGAGCTAGTAGAAGCAGGAAGACCAATAAACAATTTGAACACAGAAGGCAAATGCAGAAGATGTTAAAACTACATGAGAAATGGCCTAAATATACGAGAAATAGCAAACACAAAATAAAAGTCCCACAAAAATAATCTCCCTTCATGTTACGTTCAAATTTGTCCGATATTTTCACATAAAAGTTCAATGGGAGTCATTACACTGAATCTGAAGTGTTGTGAAGTCCTTCATCTCATGATCAGAGAAGGCGTCCACCCGCTGACACTGAGGCCCCCCCGTGGTCTACGACTGTTGAGCATGAGGAAAAGTTGGGAAAACAGGAACATGCTGATTGCTATCCCAGGTCAATATCTCTCTCCACGGTTGAACATATGTTTGAGACGTTTTTCTTCCGTCGCTAAAAACAGTGAGCCTAGTTAATAATTAATATATATTTATCTGTTTAACTTAACATTCGATTAGTTTATTTATTTATATGTCATCCTGTTGTTGTTGTTGTTTTTAACAGGAAACTCTACTCCACTTTGTATCTCCCCTCTTCTGCGGGTAACCTTGCTAACGACTTAAGACTGCTGTCCATGTCAGGTATAGCAATACTCTTAGAGTGTGGATCATACTCACTCGAAAGTGAGTATGAACTGCAATTCGTACCTCGCTGGCCGCAAAGACCTCTTTTATCCTCATTTTCCACCCTTTTTTTACTGAGGTAGGAATTAAACTAAGAGAGAAAAAATACCGGTGGGATTACCCAAGACAGCAATGGATATTCTACCTATACCACTCCCAGTGAGCAAAGACTGTCACACAGTCTTAACCTGCTCTGTACGTACCGTTATATACGAATTTCAGCTTTTTCATTTATTTCTTCGCATTCGGTTTTAATATACCTTCACTTTCTTTTTTTTCAGTTTTTCCCAATTTATCATCGTCTTATCTTTACATTATGTTTAATATCTCGCATTCTTCCCATTGTCTTCATATTTTCTTCCTACGTGGTATCTTAGTATCAAGAGATATATTTTTATCTGAATCAGCTTTAAATTGTACCGTATTATCGTTAGAGGAAGAACTGAAAGCGGAAATTTAAACCAAGATGATGCAATCATCGCGAAACATAAAGCGAATGACACTCATAAATTACCTCTAAGGACAGTGAAGGAAACATAAATAAAAATATCGTTGTCATCATTCTGGTTTAATGTATTACTCCCTATTTAGAGAAAGTCCATAGTAATAATGTTTGCCCCTGTTTTGCTAAAATAGTTGGGTATTCCTCGTAGCGACCAGCCCGGCGTCAACTGTTTCTCATCAGCGCTAAAACAAAAAAAATTAAACTCCGGTCATCGAAAGTCCCTTTTCTGGAAAGCTCATAAGGAAATAACACCGCATGGATGGTTTTCACAGTGGCGTCGTCAAGTCGTAAAGTCAAAATAGCGAGGTTTTACGAATTCTTATTTACACTAGGTTGAAGATAAACAAAAAGTAAATCTTTGTACAAGTTTCCATTCCCGTAGCATGTTTCATTTCGAAATTACAGCAATCTGAACTTCGGAGTTTTCCCAGTGCGTGACACCAAAAAAGGAATGCTGTCTCGTTGAAAAAAGTCTCTCCTCTTGATTTTTTGCAGTATAACCATTTTAAGTATTAGAAGATATGTGTATGCGCACGTATGCTAGTTCTCGAGTGAAAAGAAAGAGCTTTTATGGACAAAGTGAACTCCAGATGTTTTTGTTGATTTCCATACACCAATATGGCGTCTCCATGCAAAGCTCTTCAAAGGTCATGAAAGGTGAGTGAAACGTTTCGGCAAATAAGTCAGGAACTGTGGGCCACAAAGACCTGAGACTTGGAATAATTGTTTTTATATTAGTCTTTTATAACATTTAATTTTCTTGGCTTCTTCCAGTGGACAGTTTCCAATTTATTTTTTTGTTGCGTGACAGTGAAAACGATGTCCATTGCCGGCGGGTATACACTGTCCAAACTTTCTTGAGCTACATTTAGCTTTGGTGTTCAATCTAACATACATCAGTAATTTTGGCCATATAAACTAGCGGTAAATTACTGGGCTGCTAGAACAGTAACGCGGCGTTTGCCAAAAAAGAAAAGAGCAGTATTGAATGACTGCAAAGTACGCTCGAGAAACCACGCTTTCCGACATGAAATTTAAGGTTCAAATGAAGTAGGCTAATATTCTCATGATTACCAGAGACGAAATGGGACAATTTAAGACTGACTGTCGAGTTAGAAAATATTGTCCAACGATAATATTGTTTGGTAAAAATTGTTTTCCCTTTCATTTTATCCAAGCAACACAACGGCTGTTTCAAAACGATTCTGATTACTATCCTCATGAAAACGCCAAACAAGATTTTTAATGCTCTAAAATTAATAAAGAAGCAGATATGGTTAGGAAGTCTAAGACTGAAAAGGTCCCTTTATTACTCAAATTACTCTTTTTCTGATACACAAAAAATTAGACATTTGGAGCAAAAGATCTTTTGTTGCACGAGGCATCGTATCCTCCCCTTTTTGAGTATTTTAATTTCTAAGTAGACGTCACCGTTCAGCTTTGAGATTTTAGTACGGGTTTGAAAAAGCGATAAAGTGGAAGGCTTTCTC